AGGCAAAACCATCCAGGACATAGGAGTAGGCAAGGACTTCATGAACAAAACACCAAAAGCATTGGCAACAAAAGCCAAAATAGACAAATGGGACCTAATGAAACTCCACAGCTTCTGCACGGCAAAAGAAACAGTCACTAGAGTGAATTGGCAACCACCAGAATGGGAAAAAAATTTTGCAGTTTACCCATCTGACAAAGGGCTGATATCCAGAATTTACAAAGAACTCAAACAGATTTACAAGAAAAAAACAAACAAGCCCATTTAAAAATGGGCAAAGGTTATGAACAGACACTTTACAAAAGAAGACATATATGAGGGCAACAATCATATGAAAAAATGCTCATTATCACTGGTCATTAGAGAGATGCAAATCAAAACCACATTGAGATGCCATCTCACGCCAGTTAGAATGGCGATCATTAAAAAATCTGGAGACAACAGATGCTGGAGAGGATGTGGAGAAAAAGGAACACTTTTACACTGTTGGTGGGAGTGTAAATTAGTTCAACCATTGTGGAAGACAGTGTGGCAATTCCTCAAGGCCTTAGAAATAGAAATTCCATTTGACCCAGCAATCCCATTACTGGGTATATATCCCAAAGACTATAAATCATTCTACTATAAGGACACATGCACACGAATGTTCATTGCAGCACTGTTTACAATAGCAAAGACCTGGAATCAACCCAAATGCCCATCGATGATAGACTGGATTGGGAAAATGTGGCACATATACACCATGGAATATTATGCAGCAATCAGAAATGATGAGTTTGTGTCATTTGTAGGGACATGGATGAATTTGTAGAACATCATTCTCAGCAATCTGACACAAGAACAGAAAATGAAATACTGCATATTCTCACTCATAGGCGGGTGTGAAAAATGAGAACACATGGACACAGGGAGGGGAGTACTAAACACTGGGGTCTATTGGGGGGAAAAGGGGAGGGCCAGCAGGGGCAGGAGCTGGGGAGGGATAGCCTGGGGAGAAATGCCTAATGTGGGTGAAGATGAGAAAGGAAGCAAAACACACTGCCATGTGTTTACCTATGCAACTGTCTTGCATGTTCTGCACATGTACCCCAAAACCTAAAATGCAATAAAATTAAAAAAAATATTGGTTTTAGCCTAAAATTCAGTATTGTGTCTAAAAATAATTAGTAGAAACATTTTTGACAAAGTCAGAAACCAGACAAATATGTCTGCTATGATCACTTCAGTTATTGCTCTGGAAGCTCTAACTAACATAACTAGATCATAGAAAGAAATCAGAGGTACATAAATACAAAAGGGATTCCAGATGATCAAACTGTAGACTTTAAAAACTGGGAAAATCAACCAAAAAATTATCATATATACAGAAACAATTCAACACCTAGTCTGGGAACTTAATTAAAATCCATATTCTTCATATATTAAAAAAGAAACCAGTAAGAAGATTAATCCATGAAAAGATCATACTTATAGCCACAACAGAATAAAGACAATGTGTAACAAGATAGCAAGATATATGCAATATCTATATGAAGAAATATTTTAAGTGCTCTTAAGAATCAGTGAAGATAATTTATATGAATGGAAATGTACAGCATGTTCTTGGATGGCAAGGCTCATAAGATGTCAGTTTTCCCTAATTTAATCTATAAATTCTGAAAAGTAGGTTAATAAATGGGATACTAGTCATATTAAATATTAAAATTTTTAAAAAGCTAAAATAATTAAATAATGTGGTACTATCAAAGAAATAGACAAAGTTCTGGCTAGGCATGGTGGCTCATGCCTGTAATCCCAACACTTTGGGAGGCCAAGGCAGGTGGATCACTTGAGGCCAAGAGTTTGAAACCAGCCTAGCCAACATGGTGAAATCCCATCTCTACTAAAAATAGAAAAAGTAGCCAGGTGTGGTGACCCATGCCTGTAATCCCAGCTACTCAGGAGGCCACTGCACTCCAGCCTGGGTGCAGAGAGAGACTCTGTCTTAAAAAAGAAAAAAGAGAAAGAAATAGACAAAGTTTAATGAATAAGTTTTAAAAAATCCAGAAATGGACTCACACACATATGATAAAAATAGTATCTCAGGTCAATGAGAAAATAGATTATTTAATAGCTAATGTTATAATGACCCAACAGGTTCACCTTGTTTGCTACCTAGACTGAGGTGATCTATTCAAATGAAAGAACATTTCCAGCTCTTTATGAGAGTCCTGAAAGTTTTTTCCTCTATTTTAATGTCATAATCTCCAAGGTTATTAGAAACTTGCATTCAAGAGCACCTGTCAATGTTTTATAGCTGATTATAAAACCATCTTCTAAAGAGGACGAAATCAAGACAACAATTGTCTGTGGATGGCAAAAAAAAAAAAAAAATGTTTTAGGGAAGCCACAGCCAAAGACATGATTGACAAGGAAACTTGTTACCTCTGTGGCATACAAAAATTCAACAATTATTATTACTGATAACATATACTGAGACATATTAGAATTGTAGAAATCTTATTCAATTTTGTACCACATACTAATAACATATTCATATGAATATAACCCAAAGAAAGTTAAACACCATTTTATATTTGACAATGTTTCTTGCATGATTTTAATACATTAAATAAGCCAAATATGTCTTTTTGAACTTTAGGAGACCTATTTTTTTTTTTTAACTTAGAATTTGATCTTGGAAGGTTTGTCAAATATCAAAGGTTTAAACCACTGGATATCACAAAATAGAATCCCATTTCACCATAAGGCATTCATTTACTCAAAATGATAACTCAGGGCCAGGCATGGTGGCACATGCCTGAAGTCCCAGCTACTTGAGGCTGAGGCATGAGAATTGCTTGAACCTGGGAGGTGGAGGTTGCAGTGAGCTGAGATTGCACTGCTGTACTCCAGCCTGGATGACACAGCGAGACTCTGTCCCCCACCCACAGAAAAAATAATGCAAAGTAATTTCTGCTACCCCCAAAAGTCAAAAAATGAAATGTCAGGTAACATAATATAAAACTGAACAGGGGCTTAGATTTTGAGAGAGGTCTATCCGCTTTCAACTCCCAGGGTTCCATGAGAAAAACAGAGGGTTTTAAAAAAATTAATATTATTCCAGAATGAAAACTGTTAGAAACTATCTTATGTTTTCTCATGTGGGCAGCAAGGATGGCAAGAGGGCAAAATGGGGAAGTAATTCAGTTGATTGAGAAGAAAAATAGACAAAAACTCTTTCTCAAAAGCAACCAAGATCCAAGAAGAGAAAAAAACATAAAGGCCTCTTAAAAAATTATATATATACATATATATATATGCACATATAGTTTGGATATCTGTTTTTAATTAAGCTAATTTTAACCACAGAGCTCTTTAAAAAATTTTTTAAATCTCTTATTATCAGACTCTAGCCAGTAGAGACAGTCAATGATTCTGGCTTTTGAACTTTACCACAGGTAACTTCCCACATAAAATTAGTAAGATTTAATAAGATTAAGACTTCACTATAGATACATAAGATGTCCCAAAGAGATGGTAAGCCCTACCCTCCCTCCCTCCCTCCCTCCCTCCCTCCCTCCCTCCCTCCCTCCCTTCCTTCTTTCCTTCCGTCCTCTTTCTTTCTTTTCTGATTTATAATTTTCCCAAAGGTAATTCAGAGAAAGGAAAATTCAAGACAGGAAATCAAAAGCTATCCATGGCAGGAAAAGAATCAATAAATGGCAGAAAGTTATACAAATGACAAACCAGAAAGGACTCATTCCCTAAGCCAAGAATTAAACCTGGGCTGCCGCTGTCAAAAGACAGAGCACTGGCTACCGAGCTCCAGCATTGAGCAGGTTCTACTATGCTTTCCAGAAAAACCTTAAAGGAGCCAATTTCAAGTTTGCTAAGGCCTTTGACTGCTCAAGATAACTTTTAGGGCTATGACATGAACCCCAAAATTTCTGTCTTCTGGATAGCAAAGACCAAGAGAAAGTATCCCCACATGGTTACTTTCTCTTAAGCTCTCGAGGACATAAAAGAAACAGAGAGAAACTTCATCCACTATTGGTGTCAGACACCCACAGCAAAGTTTGTAACTGACCAGCCTGCCTGGCTGGCTTGAAAAGCAGGCTTATAGGGGTCCTAAGCTCATGTTCTATCCTGTGACACCCCTCTCTCCATTACCGAACAACAGAGAAAGACAAATTATTAGTACAAAGTACATGAGATTTGGTACAGCCCAAGACTAGTCTTATAAATCCCTTTTTTTTCCTATTAATCAAGTCTTTGCAAAGGAGAGAAACAGTGATGTTTACCATTTGAACCCACACATGAATGCTCAGAGAGAGAGAAGGAGAGAGAGAAGGGGGAGAGAGAGAGAGAGGGAGAGAGAGAGAAATGAGAGCACAGAAACTTGTCTGGTAAGAAATTCTTAACATTTTTGCTAACATACTAGATTTCTGGGTTCCATTTCTCTTCAGCTTCCAGAAGAATGGAGTGGCTTTTCATGGCCTTGCTTGCGGTGCCTTAGCTGTGGGGTATCAAGCCACTTTGCAAAAGAAAATTACCCTTTTCAGTCAGGTGTGGTGGCTCACACCTGTAATCTTAGCACTTTGGAAGGCTGAGGTAGGTCAAGACCAGCCTGACCAATATGGCAAAAGTCCATTTCTACTAAAAATACAAAAGTTAACTAGGTGTGGTGGCACATGCTTGTAGTGCCAGCTACTGGGGAGGCTGAGGTGAATTGCTTGAGCCTGGGAGGTGGAGGTTGCAGTGAGCCGAATTCATGCCCCTGCACTCCAGCCTGGGTGACAGAGCAACACTCCGTCTCATAAAAAAAAAAACAAATTAAAAAAATAATAAAAATCATCACCTTTTTTGTTTTATGGAACCACGGGCAAAAGATTCTCAAATTTGCAAGATATTGTCCATCAGGCTGCATGGAAAACCCAACTGACATTTTTATCCCAACAGAAGCAAAATACAAACAACGAAACAGACATTAGTCACCTCTTTCAGCACTCAATATCTACCTGGCAAGGCTCAAACTTTCTCTTCGTTGGTCTCTGCTGTCTCTGATCCACTGCAGGTGGGAGAAATGATCTCTGGGGACTCAATGGGTAGTCTTTGGGCACCCTGAGTTAGGCCTGCAGGACTTCTGTCAGCAATTCCTTCAGGGTTCCTCTCCAACCATATAAATACACACACACACAGTGTAAGATGAGCAGAAGACCTTCAAAAAAAAGATTCCAGACCCAGTCTCAAAGCAAAAGTGGTCTTCCAAACAAGTCCACTATTCTCCGTCCAATTAGACACCCCCTAATGGGGCTACAGACAGACACTCTGTAATGGGGCTACAGCTGCAGACACCTTGTAATGAAGCAATACGCAGACACCCTGAGAGATACAGCAGCAGCTCTACAGAGGTCAGCAAGTCAGGAGAAGGAAGGGGCAGTTGGTAGCTGCCTGGAATACTCACCAAATCAGACACCTCTTACACCCAAATCAGTTTCCCAGAGCACGAAGATCAGAGTTTTTTAAGATAATTTGATGGGTAGGGGCTTGGAAGTGGGGAGTGCTGACGGGTCAGATTGGAGATGGAATCTCAGAGGGGATCGCAGAACTGGTTGAGCCAGATTACCAATCTGGGTGGTGTCAGCTGATCTGTCCAGTGCAGGGTCAGCAAACTATCTCAAGCACTGATCTTAGGCTTTACAATAGTGATGTTATCCATTATGCAAGGAGCAATTTCGGAAGGTCAGACTCTGGCAGCTAGAAGTGCACGATCCCTAAGCTGCAATATCCAATCTTATAGTTTGTTAGTCCTACAAAGGCAGACTGGCCTAAGGTAGGAAGTGGGTCTTTTGGGAAAAGGAATATTGTCAATTTTGTTTCAGAGTCAACCCATAAACTAAATTCCTTCCCAAGATTAGTTCTGCCTACACCCAGGAATGAACAAGGACAGCTTAAAGGTTAGAAGCATGATGGGGTCAGTTAGATCTGATCTCTTTCACTGTCATAATTTCTTCAGTTATACTTTTTGCAAAGGTAGTTTCAATGTTGGGACAACTAAACAGTTACCTGAAAGAAAAAAATAAATTTATGCCTTATACTCCACCCCAAGGTAAATTCAAAATACATTAAAGATTTATTTTTTAAAAAAATGAAACTAGAACAGAGCTAGAAGGAACCATGGAATATTCTTTTACAATCTTAGAGGGGAAGGCCCTTTTCCTACATCATTAAACCATTAACAAATAGTTGGAAAAATGTAATTGCACAAAAATAAATAACTTCTGCAATGAAAAATTCACGAACCAAAGTCAGAATGAAGGTACTCAACAAACTGGGAAAAATATTTTCGACTCATATAAATCAATGAGAAAAAAACATTACCCATTAGAAAACTGGGCAAAGAATGTGAGCTGATAGTTTATCCTAAGGAAATATATAAAAGACTTAAATACAGTAAAAGATTCTTACTATTACCCCAAACAAAAAAAAATGCAAGTTAAAACTAAACTGAGATACTGTTATGAACAATGTGACTGTAAAATTTAAATAAAAAACAAACCAGTTTCTATGATCTCCTGCAATAATCTAGGTTGCTTTCCCATACTTTTGAAGAATATTTTCTCTTTCAGTATTGAATTTTTCTCAAAAATCTTTTCTTCCCAATATTCAGTTTAAGCTTTCAGTTAATTTTTTTTGATGCATGCATGTGGGTGTGCATGTGTGTGAGTCTATTGTTCAATGATATATCTTCAATGCTCAGAAAAGCACTAACTACCATAACCTATGAACTTTATAAATATTAGTTGAATAATAGTAAAAGGATGGGATTAAGGAGTTGAAAGTAGGAAAGTTGACTTTGTGTCCCAGGCACAGTATAAGATAAATAAAGAGGAAGATGATGAAAGGAGAAGAGTAAGAAAGAAGGCAAGAAGTGAGAGAGAATGTTTTAAGGACATTATTTCTTTCACCCAAATGGGTTGAAACTAACACTTTGTGCATTTGATGCAGAACTTACAAACCAGACATAATCACTACTCAATTCTCCCATGGTGGATTTCATGCAGGTTGGACAGCATATATAGAGCTTGCACCTTTTTTCTGGGGTTTCAGAAATTTGTGCTTTCCATTCTAGCCTATCCAAAACACCTATATGCTTACCAGAGCTTATCTGAAGTTGCATGCTTCTATCATAAGCAGAGCATTTAGGTCTTTGTAGGGAGGCCGAAAAGGACAAGAAATACAGGACATTCTTGTAGTTGCACAGAAACTGAATAATCTAAGTAAGTACAACATCTGAATCATTTTATAAACCAGCTGGTGACTGATATCATGAACGGGTGTCATCAAATGTCATGACCATATGTGGGAAAGTACCTGTAGATGATCAGGGACCTTTGTATAAAAGCGCAGCTGTGCCTTTGAAAAGTTCTTAGTAGCATCTGCACATGCAGACTAGTTTAGCAACTTACTTTCTATTGGTTGGTTGCCAATCAGTTAACACGTAGTTTTAGAAATCAAACCTTCAAACTGCTTAACAATGCCTTCATTATTCTACCGTAGAACTAGTTTGTGTCACAAAAGAATGTCTAACTGCCTATCCTCTCACTTAAAAAATTTTTATTCTAATATTTTTATTCTCTCTTTCATACTGGATGAACATTTGCAAGCAAAATGTAGATTTGATGCAGTTGCCAGTATCCTGTAATAAGATGGATTTTGTTAATTGAATATTCTCACTTGGATTATCTTAATCATTTCAAAGAGAGTGATTCCAGACTATTTTGACCATTTGGTCACTACATTCTATACTTTCATAATTTTTTAAATGAAGATTATTGACTACATGGTCCTATTTTTCTTCACCTCATACCAGCAATGTGACCTTGAACAAGTTACTCAAACTCTTTGTGTCTCAGTTTCATCTGTAATAGGAGGGATTGCTGGTACCGACTTGAGAGATACTGTGAGTGAGGAGGGCGAAAATCAGCTAATGACCATGAGCACGTGCTGGAGACAAAAATCTTTGTATCTGAGGAATTTAGAAGTGTCATGAGGGGAGCAAAGACCACCTGCTAACCATCAAACAGGCCATCAGAGGCGAAACTCTGTATCGAGAGAATTTAAAAGTAATTAAAGTTCTCTAGTATCTAAATAGGCATCTAGTTCCAAGACTCTTTCAAAAAAATTTATAAGTAACTAAAATTTCATTACACGTCTAGAATGCTATGCACTCATTGTGCAATGCTTGCTGATACTAACGCATCAAAATGACTATAAATGTAATCATTTATCACAACCTACTGGCTAATATGGTCAAAATTACCCTCAAGTTTCTGTCTTAAGGTCCATAAATGCTCCTAAGGAGAATCTGCCATGGTCCACTCCATCCTATCTAGCTGAAGTGCCCTGCTGCACCCTTCTGCAGTGTTCTTTCTTTCTAATAAAACTTTCCTTTTTCAAACCTATACTGTTGTCAGTAATTTCTTCTTAGTAATCCGAGAGTGGACCACTTTCAGGTGCTATGGCTCTCACATCTTGCCCAGCAGTGAAAGTTAGATGAATTCATGTATCTCAACACAGTTCTTGAGACCTAATAAGTGCTTAAGAAAATGGCTATTTAAAATAGATCGGTAAGCTATTATTGAATCAAGTATCTAATTAATGTAGCCTTTATATAAATTTTACAAATTAAGGGTTAATTATGCTTATATAATTGTGAATATTATATAGATATAAATTATCTGAACTAGAGTGCAATATTTCTTAAGACTCTCTTACTTGTCCCACTTACTTCTTACAAATAAAACCCTATATAAAATGGCTTTTGAGGATCACTTGAAGTCAGGAATTCGAGACCAGCCTGGCCAACATGGTGAAAACTCACCTTTACTAAAAATACAAAAAAATTTAGCCAGGTGAGATGGCACACACTTGTAATCCCAGCTACTGGAAAAGCTGAGGAGGGGAAGATCGCTTGAACCCGGGAGGTGGAGGTTGTAATGAGCCGAGATTGCATCACTGCACTCTGTTGCCTGAGCAACATACTGAGACTCCGTCTCAAAACGAAAAAAAAAAAAGAAAGATATGAATACTTGCATACTCTCAACCACAAGGGAGATCAAGTTGAGGGTGGATTTTACAGTAAGTACTATATAAAGAATGCTGCTACACCCATTTCAGGCATCTTGTAACTCAAAATAGCTGTGTGTAAATATGCATTCATGGAGGTCGTAAGGCTTCTTGTTCAAAGACTTAAAAAATTTTTTTCTAGTCCTACTTTACTCTTATATCTAATATGAAATAATAAAGAAAATAATAAAAAAGGTAGTAAATAGGAAGAAGAGTTATTAAGGAAAAGGTGGGTTAAAACAGTTGTAACATAGGGGTTTTCCCTCCTTCAGTCTCATGGGCTCTCCACAAAACTCACTCATGTAACAGGAAACAACAGAAGTAATTCTGGGTTTGGAAAATCCGCAGGACTGGTTTTGCCTCTTGTGGAATCATTTTGCAGAGATGGGAGCCAAGATAGGTAAAGTGATCTCACAGGGTGTTTACATACATTAGGGATTAGCAATCAGTGACTCAGATGCAAAGGTGGCAAAGATGACGAGGGAGGCCATGGTAACAGCTGACTCTGAGAAACTGTGTGTGTGTGTGTGTTTCATATGGGGGACCAGGTGTGGGTCAGGAGGAGTCCTGCTTATCATCTGCCTCTTTGCAGATCCCACCCCACAGGCCTTGGAAGCCTGAGGCAGTGTTCTTCTGGGATGTTTCCAACTCGGCTTCCCATGAGGATGTACGGCCAGCCTGGCTGGTGAGTTTTACTTCTCTCACCTCTCAGAGGTAAGAGGTCTGAGAGGCTCAGGCCTCTTCTAGCTTTTGAGGATTCCAGCATATTAGAAACATAACATGGTCCAACAGAATTGCAAACAGAATCTATTTAAAATTCTTATATTTAATAAGTCAATACTTAATAAAAAGCAATCAAACTTTTGTTGAAATAATTATCGATTCCAACGAAGTTGTAAAGATAGCTCAGGAGGTCCCTGTGCATCTTTCACCCAGTTTCCACCAGTTTTATGCTACTAGAGTACAATATCTGAACCGGGACCTTGACACTGGAGCCATATATTTCCATGTCATGTGTATGTTCATGTACTCATCACTTCAGTCAGGTTACAGACTAGACCATCCCTCATGCTGCCCTCCTCACTATCAACCCTAAACCCTGGAGGTCATTAGTCTGTTCTTAATTACTACAGTTTGGTCATTTTGAGAATGAATGAAATCACACAATAACATAAGCCTTTTGAGACTGGCATTTTTTTTCACTCGGCATAACACCCTTTAGATCGGTCAATAATGCTTCCATTTTATTGCTGAGTGGTATTCCATGGTATAGGCATACCACGGTTTAACCCTTCATCTCCAGTTTTGGCTTTTACGAATAGAGCTTCTGTGAGTATTCACACACAGGTTTTTGTGGGAAAATAAGTTTTCATTTCTCAGTGATAAAGACCCAGGGATACAAATTCTGGGTCATATGGTGTTTGTTTAGTATTGTAAGACATGGATATACTGACTTCGAATGTGTCCTATTTTACTACTTACCAGCTATTTATGAGTCCTGATTTTTAAATTTCAGCCATTCTGATATTCTATTGTAGTTTTAATTTGTATTTGTCTAATAGTTACTGATGTTGCATATCTTTTAATGTGTTTATTTGCTATTTGTGCATCCTCTTTGGTGAGAAGTCTCTTTATGTATTTTGCTTATTTTCTAATTGGACTGTTTGGGATTATTTACTGTTGAGTTTTGACAATTCTTTATATATTCTACATATGAGTCTTTTGTCAGACATGTGATTTGCAGGTATTTTCTGCCAGCCTATAGCTTGTTTTTTTCA